GGGGACACGTCCACGGCCTGCCTGCGCACAGTGCGTGGGCAAAAAATCCAAAAAAATGGGGGAAAAAATCCCCAAAAATGGGGGAAATTGGGAAAAATTGAAGGAAAAAAAGGGGAGAAAATTGGGGAAAAAACAGGAGAAAACCAGAGACAAAACATAGGAAAAACATGATGAAAATGGGAAAAAAATGATGAAAAAATGATGAAAAAATTGAAAAAAATTGGGAAAAAATCAGAAAAAATTGGGGAAAAAATGGGAAAAAAATGGGAAAAAAAGCTGGGAATGTTGGGAATATTTGGGAATGCTTGGAAGTGTTCAAAATGTGGGGATTACCTGGTTGACCCTGCGCAGGGGGGACACGTCCACGGCCTGCCTGCGCACGGTGCCGGCGCGGCCGATGCGCGTGGAATCCTCGCGGGGACCCGAATTAATGATGGCGTTAACGAGCACCTGCAGGGGGTTCTGGCAGAGAAAAAGGGGGAGATTCCCAAAAAATTCATCCCAAAATCCCTTTCTCCACTTTTTTACTATCCAAACCCCGTTTTTCCCCTAAAAAGCCCTTTTATTTCCCCCAAAAAAATCCCATTTTTCCCCCTAAAACCCCCATTTTCCCTCCGTTTTTCACGGGGTTTTTTGCAATTTTTCCCCATTTTTTCCCCATTTTCCCCCCATTTCTTGGGATCCCCTCACCTCCCCAGTGAGCAGATGGACAATCTCCAACCCACCTCCTTTTCCCCTTCCCAAATCCCATTTTCCCCCTAAAAATCCCATTTTTCTCCCATTTTCCCCTCTAAAAAATCCCATTTTGCTCCCATTTTCCCCCCTAAAAAATCCCATTTTTTCTCCCCATTTCCCACCTAAAATTCCCATTTTCCCCTTCACTTTTTCCCCCTAAAATTCCCATTTTTTCCTTATTTCCCCCCCCTAAAAATCCAATTTTCCTCCTAAAATTCCCCATTTTAAATCCATTTTCCCCCTGAAAATTCCAGTTTTTTCCCCTATTTCCCTCTTTATTTTTTCTCCTAAAAATCTGATCCTTCCTCCTAAAAATCCAATTTTTTTCCCTCTAAAAATCCAATTTTTCCCTACTAAAAATCTGATTTTCTCCCCATTTTTCCCCCTAAAAATCCCATTTTTCCCCTTAAAATCCCATTTTTTCTCTCCATTTCCAACCCAAATTTCCCATTTTCCCCTTTTCTCCATAAAATCCCCATTTTTTCCTTAGTTTTCCTCTTAAAAACTCCATTTTTTCCTCTAAAAACCCCATTTTCCCACTGAAAATTCAAATTTTTCCCCCATTTCCCCCCCCTTTTTTCTCCTAACAATCCAATTTTTTTCCCCCCTAAAAATCTGATTTTTCCCCCACTTTTCCCCCTAAAAATCCCATTTTTTCCCCAAAAAATCCCATTTTTCTTTCATTTTTCCCCCTAAAACCCCCATTTTTCCTCCGTTTTTCACGGGGTTTTTTGTGTTTTGCCCCATTTTTTCCCCATTTTTCCCCGATTCCCCCCATTTTTTGGGCTCCCCTCACCTCCCCAGTGAGCAGGTGGATGATTTCGAAGGCGTGCTTGACAATCCTGACGGTCATGAGCTTCTTGCCGTTGTTGCGGCCGTGCATCATCATGGAGTTGGTCAGGCGCTCCACGATGGGGCACTGCGCCTTCCTGAAGCGCTTGGCGGCGTAACGCCCCGCCGAGTGCGGCAGGTACTTGGCATATTTCTCCTTCACGGCGATGTAATCCTGAAAAAATTGGGAATTCCCAAAATTTTGGGATCAGTTTTGGGGTAGAAAGCACCAAAAATCGCGAATTTCTGGCTCAAATCGCGTCAAAATTTGAGTATTTTCCATTCCACTAACATGGAGTAAGAGAGTACCTAGAGAGTACCTATCTTTCTCCTTTGTTATGATGTAATCCTAAAAAACTTGGGAAATCCCAAAATTTTGGGAATTTTAGGATCAGTTTTGGGGTCGAAAACCCCAAAAATCGCGAATTTCCCAAAATTTGGGAAAATTTGGGATCAGTTTTGGGGTCAAAAGCGCCAAAAATCGCGAATTTCTGGCTCAAATCACGTCAAAATTCAAAGATTTTCCATTCCGCTAACATGAAGTAAAAGTGTCCCTGGTGTATTTCTTCTCTATTATGATGTAATCCTAAAAAATTTGGGAATTCCTAAAAAATTTGGGAATTCCCAAAATTGTGGGAATTTTAGGATCAGTTTTGGGGTCAAAAGCGCCAAAAATCGCGAATTTCTGGCTCAAATCACGTCAAAATTCAAAGATTTTCCATTCCGCTAACATGGAGGAAAACAGTACCTGGTGTATTTCTGCTCTATTATGATTAAAGCCTGAAAAATTTGGGAATTCCCAAAATTTTGGGAATTTTGGGATGAGTTTTGGGGTTAAAATCGCCAAAAATCGCGAATTTCTGGCTCAACTCCTTCACGGCGATGTAATCCTGAAAAAATTGGGAATTCCCAAAATTTTGGGATCAGTTTTGGGGTCGAAAGCACCAAAAATCGCGAATTTCTGGCTCAAATCGCGTCAAAATTCAAAGATTTTCCATTCCGCTAACATGGAGGAAAACAGTACCTGGTGTATTTCTGCTCTATTATGATTAAAGCCTGAAAAATTTGGGAATTCCCAAAATTTTGGGAATTTTGGGATGAGTTTTGGGGTTAAAATCGCCAAAAATCGCGAATTTCTGGCTCAAATCGCGTCAAAATTTGAATATTTTCCGTCACGCTAACACAAAACATAGAAGGTACCTGGTGTATTTCGTCTTTATTATAATAGAAGCCTAAAAATTTGGGAATTCCCAAAAATTTGGGGAATTTTGGGATCAGTTTTGGGGTCGAAAACCCCAAAAATCGCGAATTTCTGGCTCAAATCGCGTCAAAAGTCAAAGATTTTCCATTCCACTAATGCCCACTGAGGGAGGCTCTCGGTGTATTTCTGCTCTATTATGATGTAATCCTAAAAAATGTGGGAATTCCCAAAATTTTGGGAATTTTAAGATCAGTTTTGGGGTCAAAAGCCCCAAAAATCGTGAAATTTTGGCCCAAATCCCATAAAAATGCCATAAAAATCTCATAAAAATGAAAATATTCTTGGCCATGTAAGGCCCCACGGAGTGAGTGTGATGGAATCCGAAAAAATTTGGGAATTTTTGGGAAATTTGGGAATTTTGGGGTTGGATTTGTGATTCTGAACACCCAAATACCCTCCAGAATTCCAAAAAATCCCAACCTGTAGGAAACTTCCCAGATTCTCATGGAAATTTGGAAATTCCAGCCCCAAACTCCAGGAATTCCATGAAAATTTGGGAATTCCAGCCCCAAACTCTCATGGAAATTTGGGAATTCCAGCTGCAAATTCCCATAGAAATTTGGAATTTCCAGCCCCAAATTCCAGGAATTCCAACCCAAAATTCCCATGAAAATTTGGCAATTCCAGCCCCAAACTCCAGGAATTCCAGCCCTAAACTCTCATGGAAAATTGGGAATTCCAGCCCCAAACTCCACGAATTCCAGCCCTAAACTCTCATGGAAAATTGGGAATTCCAGCCCAAAATTCCCATAGAAATTTGAATATTAGAGTCCAAATCTCCAGGAATTCCAATGGAAATGTGGGAATTCCAGCCCCAAACTCCACGAATTCCAGCCCTAAACTCTCACGGAAAATTGGGAATTGCAGCCCCAAACTCCAGGAATTCCAGCCCTAAACTCTCATGGAAAATTGGGAATTCCAGCCCCAAACTCCACGAATTCCAGCCCTAAACTCTCATGGAAAATTGGGAATTCCAGCCCAAAATTCCCATCGAGATTTGAATATTCGAGTCCAAATCTCCAGGAATTCCAACCCCAAATTCCCTGGATTTCTTGCCCCAAATTCCTCTGGAAATTTGGGAATTCCAGCCCCAAACTCCAGGAATTTCAGCCCCAGATTCCCAGGAATTTTGGGGGTTCCCACCTGCAGGGAGATGTCGTTGATCTGGACGTCGTCCGTGCTCCTGCCCCAACCCCACATTCCCATTTCTGAGAATTCCAGCCCCAAATTCCCAGGAATTCCAGCCCCGAATTCCCAAGAAAATTTGGGAATTCCAGCCCCAAATTCCCAGGAATTTTGGGGGTTCCCACCTGCAGGGAGATGTCGTTGATCTGGACGTCGTCCGTGCTCCTGCCCCAACCCCACATTCCCATTTCTGAGAATTCCAGCCCCAAATTCCCAGGAATTCCAGCCCCGAATTCCCAAGAAAATTTGGGAATTCCAGCCCCAAATTCCCAGGAATTTTGGGGGTTCCCACCTGCAGGGAGATGTCGTTGATCTGGACGTCGTCCGTGCTCCACTTGCCGAACAATTTGATGTCCGGGGTCTCGGTCACGGCCGGAGCCGTCTCCCAGTCGGTCATGCTGGGGGGAAAAAAATGGGAAAAGTTGGGAAAAATGTGGGGAAAATGGGGGGGAAAGTGGGAAAAAGTGGAAAAAAAAATTGGGGGGAAAAGCAAGAAAATGAGGGGGAAAATGTGGGAAACAATATGGGGGAAAACGTGGGAAAAAATAGATGAAAAATTAGAAAAAAAGGGGGAAAATGTGGGAAAAATGGGGGGAAATGGGGGGGAAAGTGAGGGGGGAAATGAGGGGAAAAGTGGGAAAAAATATGGGGGGAAAAGTGGCAAAATGAGGGGGAAAATGTGAGAAAAAATATATGAAAAAGGAGAAAAAAAGGAGGAAAAAGCAGGGGAAAAATGGGGAAAAAATTGGAGGGAAAATGAGGAAATGAGAGGGAAAATGAGGAAAAAATATGGGGGAAAAATGTGGGGAAAAGTGTGAAAATGAGGGGAAAAATATGGGAAATAATATATGAAAATAGAGAAAAAAAAGGGGGGAAAGAGAAGAAAATGGGGAGAAAAGTGGGAAAAAATTTGGGGGGAAAAGTAAGAAAATGAGGGGAAAAATGTGGGGAAAAATATGGATTAAGAGGAGAAAAAGCAGGGAAAAAACATGTGAAAAAGGAAGAAAAAAGGGGGAAAAAAGATGGGAAAAATATGTGGGGAAAAGTGAGAAAAATATGGGGGAAAAGTGAGAAAATGAGAGGGAAAATGAGGGGAAAAATATGGGGAAAAGAGAAAAAAAATGTGAAAAAAAGTGAAAAAATACATGCAAAAAGAAGAAAAAGTGGGGGGAACATGTGGGGGGTAATGTGGGAAAAAATTGAAAAAATTTGGGGGGAAAAGTGAGAAAATGAGGGGGAAAATGTGGGAAAAAATTTGAGGGAAAAGTGGGAAAAATATGAGAAAAAAGTGAGAAAATGAGGGGGAAAATGTGGGAAAAAATATGGGGAAAAATGTGGGAAAATGTGTGAAAAAATGTATGAAAAAGGAGACAAAAAGGGGGAAAAATGTGGGAAAAATGGGGAGAAATGAGGGGGAAATGTGGGAAAAAATTTGAGGGAAAAGTGGGAAAATGAGGGAAAAGTGTGGGAAAAAATATGGGGAAAGAGGAGAAAAATCTGGGGGAAAATGCGTGAAAAAATATATGAAAAATGAGGAAAAAAGAGGGGAAAGTGGAAGAAATGTGGGAAAAAATTTGGGGGAAAAGTGAGAAAATGAGAGGAGAAATGAGGAAAAAATATGGGGGAAAAATGTGGGGAAAAGTGTGAAAATGAGGGGAAAAATATGGGAAATAATATATGAAAATAGAGAAAAAAAAGGGGGGAAAGAGAAGAAAATGGGGAGAAAAGTGGGAAAAAATTTGGGGGGAAAAGTAAGAAAATGAGGGGAAAAATGTGGGGAAAAATATGGATTAAGAGGAGAAAAAGCAGGGAAAAAACATGTGAAAAAGGAAGAAAAAAGGGGGAAAAAAGATGGGAAAAATATGTGGGGAAAAGTGGGAAAAATATGAGAAAAAAGTGAGAAAATGAGAGGGAAAATGAGGGGAAAAATATGGGGAAAAGAGGAAAAAAGTGTGAAAAAATGTGTGAAAAAATATATGAAAAAGAAAAAAAAAGGGGGGGAAATAGGAGGAAAAATGTGGGGAAAAGTGGGAAGAATGTGTGAAAAAACATATGAAAATTTGAGGGAAAAGTGGGAAAATGAGGGAAAAGTGTGGGAAAAAATATGGGGAAAGAGGAGAAAAATCTGGGGGAAAATGCGTGAAAAAATATATGAAAAATGAGGAAAAAAGAGGGGAAAGTGGAAGAAATGTGGGAAAAAATTTGGGGGAAAAGTGAGAAAATGAGAGGAGAAATGAGGAAAAAATATGGGGGAAAAATGTGGGGAAAAGTGGGAAGAATGTGTGAAAAAACATATGAAAAAGGAGGAAAAAAAGAGGAAAAAGTGGGGGGAAAAGTGGGAGAAATGTGGGGAAAAATAGGAGGAAAAATGTGGGGAAAAGTGGGGAAAGAAGTGGGAAAAAGTGGGAGAAATGTGGGGAAAAATAGGAGGAAAAATGTGGGGAAAAGTGGGGGGAAGAGTGGGGAAACAAGTGGGAAAAAGTGGGAGAAATGTGGGGAAAATATGGGGGGGAAGTGGGAAAAAGTGTTTGAAAAAAATATACAAAAAAGAGAAAAAATGTGAGGAAAAGTAGGGAAGAAAGGGGGAAAATTGGGGAGAAAATATGAGAAAAATGGAGAAAAAAAATTCCTCTGCTCTAAATCCCATTTTTCCAGTTTTTCCTCTTTTCCGACTCTTATTCCTTTTTTTTCCTCCCTTTTCTCAGTATTTCCCCTCAACCTTTTCCCAATCCCCCTTTTCCCTCCCTAAACTCCCCAATCCCAAGGCAAATTTTTAATTTAAAACCAAATTAAGAAACCCGAGACCGCCGCTTCCCCCCCCCCTTCCCCTCATGGCCGCTCCCCCCTCACCGCTGCCATCCCCATTTTTCCCCCTTTCCCCGGCCCTCACCGCCCAAATTCCCACCCCGCCGCCTTCCCCATCCCTATTTTCCCCTCACAAATCCCATTTTTTCCCTCACAAATCCCATTTTTTCCGGAAAATTCCCCCTTTTCCCGCTCTCCCCCCTCACATGGCGGCGGCTCCTTCTCCGACCCGGCAAAAAGGGCACTACGGGGCTTCCCTGCCGTTTATATAGCGGGCAGGGGCCCACTTCCGGTGGCGCACGCGCAATTTTGCTGTACGGCACAAAACTTCCGCCCTTCCAGCCCGCACTGCGTGTATTACGCATGCGCTGTAGCGATGTTACGGACGCGGCCGCCATGTTGGTTACGGGCATTCGCCTCAAAGGCCGCCGGGGTTCCTTTTGAGGGGGTAAAAACACGCGTGGGAGGAAAATGGGAGCTTTGAAGGGGTAAAAACACGCGCGGAAGTGACAAAAATGTGATAAAAAGGTAAAAAAGTGGACAAAGAGGGGACTGGAGATGACACGCGGAGGGGAAATGGCCGCTCACGCGTGGGCGAGGAATGGGAGGGCACCCATTAAGCGAGGCTGAGGAGCGCTGACCAATCACGGGTCGTTATGTGTGTGACGTCATAGGTTGCTAGGCAGATTTACGCGGGACCCCCTTTTTGGGGGCGTTTTGGGGACCCCAAAACTGAACCCCCCCGGACCACTCCTTACCCAAAATATGCCAAAATTCCTCCCCAAATTTCCCTCAAAATCCTAAAAAAAATTCCTGCAAAAATCCCCAAAAAATCCCCCCCACAAATTCTTCCAAAATCCAAAAAAATCCCCCCCAAAATTTCACCACTTTTATTTTTCACAACGGGGAAATTTTGGGGAATTTTTGGGGAGATTTTTTGGGGTTTAATGGGATTTTTAGGGGGAATTTGGGGATTTTTTTGGGGATTTTGGGGGGATTTTTGGGGGTTTTTTGGGGGGTTTTAAATGGGATTTAAAGGGGATTTTTGGGTGGGATTTTGGGAGATTTTTTGGGGATTTTTAATGGGATTTAAGGGGGATTTGGGGGAATTTTTGGTGTTTTTTAAAATGGGATTTAAGGGGGATTTTAAAGGAATTTTTGGGGTTTTTTGGTGGGATTTTTGGGTTTTTTAAATGGGATTTTTGGGAATTTTTTTTGATATTTTAATGGGATTTTAGGGTGGATTTTAGGTGGGATTTGGGGGGTTTTTAGAGAGGATTTTTGGGATTTTTATTGGGATTTTGGGGAATTTTTGGTATTTTTAAAAATGGGATTTAAGGGGGATTTTTAGGGAATTTTTTGGGTTTTTTAAATGGAATTTTTTGGGTTTTTTGGTGGGATTTTGAGGGGATTTTTGGTGATATTGGGGTTTTTAAATGGGATTTTTAGGGGATTTTTGGGATTTTTTGGGATCTTTTAATGGGATTTTGGGGTGGATTTTTGGGCGGGATTTGGGAGAATTTTTAGGGATTTTCTTGGATTTTTATTGTGATTTTGGGGTGGATTTTTGCACTGGATTTGGGGGATTTTGGGGGGGTTTTAAGGGGAATTTTTGGGATTTTGGGGGGATTTTTGGGCTGGATTTGGGGGATTTTTGGGGGGATTTTTGAGGGAGTTTTGGGCTAGGTTTGGGGGATTTTGGGGGGATTTTTGGGGTGATTTTTGGGGTGATTTTCGGGTTTTTGGTCCCCGCCGCCGTCACCGCCCTGGGAGGTTCCTCAGATGCTCCCTGGGAAGGGAAAGTGACAAAAAATGGGGGAAAAAAGGGGGAAAAAGGGACAAAGAAGTGGCCGAGGGTGACATCGAGGGTCCCTCACCTGCGTAGGTGTCACCGGGGAGGGGGGTGTAACCTGCAGGGAAAAAATGGGGCAAAAATGGGCAAAAATGGGCAAAAAATGAGGCAAAAATAGACAAAAATGGGAGAAAAAAGCAACAGAAAGGGAGAAAAAGTGAAAAAATGGAGAAAAAAGGGAGAAAAAGGGAGAAAAATGGGGGGAAAGGATAAAAAATGACAAAAAAGGGACAAAAAAAGACAAAAAAGGGACAAACAGTGACAAAAAAGCAGCAAAAAGGGAGAGAAAGTGAAAAAAAAAGAGAAAAAAGCAGTAAAAATGGACAAAAAAGCAACAAAATGGATGAAAAAGTGAAAAAATGATGAAAAAAGCAATAAAAAGGGAGGAAAAATGAGGAAAATAGAGATTAAAGGGACAAATGGTGACAAAAAAGGGAGAAAAAGTGGGAAAAAAGGAGAAAAAAGTGACAAAAAAGGAGGAAAAAGCAATTAAAAGGCACAGAAAGGTGGGGGAAGGAAAAAAAGGGACAAGAAAGGACAAAAATTGACAAAAAATGGATAAATAGAGATTTAAAAAGTGGAAAAAGGAGAAAAAGTGTCAGAAAAGGAGAAAAAAAAGACAAAAATCAACAAAAGGGAACAGAAAAGGGATAAAAAGAGAGGGAAATGGACAAAAAATTACAAATAGGGACAGAAAAGTGACCAAAAATGGCAGAAAAGTGACAAAAATTGTTCAAAAAAGGAGAAAAAGCAACAAAAAAGGGACAAAAGCGACAAAAATGAAGAAGAATGGACAGAAAAGGGGGAGGAAAAGGAGAAAAAGTGAGAAAAAATGGACAAAAAATGAGAAAAAGGGACAAAAAATGACAGAAAAGGGGGAAAAGTGACAAAAAAAGGGGGAAAAGTGACAAAAAATGACAAAAAAAGGTGACAAAAGTGACCAAAAATGACAGAAAAGTGACAAAAATCGTTCAAAAAAGGAGAAAAAAGGGAGAAAAAGCAACAAAAAAGGGACAAAAGCGACAAAAATGAAGAAGAAGGGACAGAAAAGGGGGAGGAAAAGGAGAAAAAGTGAGAAAAAATGGACAAAAAATGAGAAAAAGGGACAAAAAATGACAGAAAATGGGGGAAAAGTGACAAAAAAGGGGGAAAAGTGACAAAAAAAGTGGGAAAAGTGACAAAAAATGACAAAAAAAGGTGACAAAAGTGACAGGAGGTGACGTTGGGTCCCTCACCTTTGTGGGAGCCACCAGGGAGTGGGGTGTAACCTGCAGGGACAAAAATGAGATTGAAATGAGAGAAAAGTGGGCAAAAAAGGACAAAAATGGACAAAAAATGACATAAAATGACAAAAAATGACAATAAATGGACAAAAAGTGACATAAAATGGACAAAAAGTGACACAAAAAGGACAAAACACAACAAAATGGGACAAAAACCCAAGAAAAAACAGCATAAAAGTGCCAAAAATTTCGAGAAAGTGATAAAAAGTGACATAAAAGTGACAAAAAATGACAATAAATGGACAAAAAGTGCCATAAAATGGACAAAAAGTGATATAAAAGTGACCAAAAATGACAATAAATGGACAAAAACTGCCATAAAAGTGACGAAAAGTGACATAAAAGTGACCAAAAATGACAATAAATGGACAAAATTGACATAAAATGGACAAAAAGTAACACAAAAGGACAAAACACAACAAAATGGGACAAAAAGCAAGAAAAAACAGCAAAAGAGTGACAAGAAATGACAAAAAAGTGATAAAAAGTGACATAAAATGGACAAAAAGTGACACAAAAAGGACAAAACACAACAAAATGGGACAAAACAGCAAGAAAAACAGCATAAAAATGACAAAAAAGTGACAAAAAATGACAATAAATGGACAAAAAATGACACAAAAAGGACAAAACACAACAAAATGGGACAAAACAGCAAGAAAAACAGCATAAAAATGACAAAAAAGTGACAAAAAATGACAATAAACGACAATAAATGGACAAAAAATGACACAAAAAGGACAAAAATTGACATAAAAGTGACAAAAAATGACAATAAATGGACAAAAAGTGACAAAAAGTGACATAAAATGGACAAAAAATGCCATAAAAGTGACCAAAAGTGCCATCAAAGTGTCCCCTCGTTGTCACCTGTCCGGAGGTAGCGGCAGAGGCCGAAGGTGAAGAGGAGGAGCCCCAGGATCAGCGCCAGCACCGCCAGGGCCACCAGGAGGGACAACCTTGGGGACAATCCTGGGGCTGCGGGGACAAAAATGGGACAAAATCACCCAAAATTTAAAAAATTCACCCCCAAAAATTAAAAAAATGCCCCTGAAATTCAAAGAAATTCACACAGAATTTAAAAAAAATAATCCCACTTAAATTGTTTAAATTTTTTTCCATAATTAAAAAAATACTCCTAATTTTTTTTTAAATTCACCCCAGAAATTTTTAAAAAAAATTTCCCCAAAATTTAAAAAATTCACCCCCAAAAATTAAAAAAATGCCCCTGAAATTCAAAGAAATTCACACAGAATTTAAAAAAAATAATCCCACTTAAATTGTTTAAATTTTTTTCCATAATTAAAAAAATACTCCTAATTTTTTTTTAAATTCACCCCAGAAATTTAAAAAAAAAATTTTCCCCAATAATTAAAAAAATCCACCCAAAATTCAAATAAATTCACTTAAAAATTTAAACAAATTCACCCACATAAATATTAAAAAATTTCCCCAAAATTTAAAAAAATCTAAACTTCAGAGAAATCCACCCAGAAATTAAATAAAATCCAACCCCCAAAATAAAAAAAAAAATCTACCCAAAATTCAAAGAAATCCAACCAAAATTTTAAAAACCGTCCAAAAATTTTTTAAATCTACCCCAAAATTAAAAGAAATCCACCCAGAAATTTTTAAAAAATCCCCCCCCAAAAAAAACCACCCCCAAAAATGTAAAAAAAATTTCTCAAAAATTAAAAGAATTCCACCCAAAATTAAAAGAAATTCATCTGAAAAATGTTTAAAATCCACCCCCCAAAAATGAAAATAAATTGCCCAAAATTAAAAAGAAAATTGGAATAAACCCTCAAAAAATTCCTCAAAATTCCACAAAAAATTCCTCAAAATCCCAAACCCGCCAAACCACAAAATTGTTAAAAATCCTGATAAAACCCAAAAAAAATTATCAAAAAATCGTAAAAAAACACTCAAAATTCCAATAAAAATTAAAAAAAATTCAAAAAATTCCCAAAAAAATCCCCAAAAATTCCCTCAAATCCCAAAAACCACAAAATTACCCCAAAATTCCCCAAGATTTCCTCACCCCATGTGACACTGAGGGGCTCCTTCAGGGTGGGGTGCAGCGCCACGCACTCGAAAGTGTCCCCAGACGTCCCCGGTGGCACCTGGATCGTCGCCTGCGTCCGGAACGTTCCGTCCCCCACCGGAAGCACCCGGCTTTGTCCTGAAGTGTCCCCAACGGTGTCCCCAACGCTGTCCCCAAGGGTGTCCCCAACGCTGGCCCCGTTGCGGAGCCACCTCAGGGTGATCTCGGCGGGGGAGAAGCCCCAGGCGTGGCACACCAGGGCCAGCGCGGGGCCCGAGCGCTCGGGGACGATGCGCAGCTGCGGTGGCGCTGAGGGGACACAAAGGGACGTCGTGGAGGTGGCTTTGTGTCACCAAATGGCCGAAAAATGGCGAAAAACGGGCTCAAAATGGCGCCAAAATGGCGAAAATGGGGCTCAAAATGGCCCCAAGATGGCCGCCAATGTCCTGAGGTGATCAAAATGTCCTCCACAAAATGGCCACTAATTGGCCCCAAAATGGCTGCCAGGGTACCCAAAATGGGCCAAAATGGTCCCAAAATGGCCTCAAACCTGTCCCCAAATGTGTCCCCAAATTAGCCCTGAAATGGTCTCAAAATGGTCCCAAAATGGCCCCAAATGTGTCCTAAAATGGCTGCCAATGTTCCCCAAAATGGCGCCAAAATTTGCCCCAAAATGATCCCAAAATGGTCCCCAAAATGGCGCCAAATTGTGCCCCAAATGTGCCTCAAAATGTGTCCCCAAGGGTGTCCCCAACGCTGGCCCCAAGTGTGTCCCCAACGCTGGCTCCGTTGCGGAGCCACCTCAGGGTGATCTCGGCGGGGGAGAAGCCCCAGGCGTGGCACACCAGGGCCAGCGCGGGGCCCGAGCGCTCGGGGACGATGCGCAGCTGCGGTGGCGCTGAGGGGACACAAAGGGACGTCGTGGAGGTGGCTTTGTGTCACCAAATGGCCGAAAAATGGCGAAAAACGGGCTCAAAATGGCGCCAAAATGGCGAAAATGGGGCTCAAAATGGCCCCAAGATGGCCGCCAATGTCCTGAGGTGATCAAAATGTCCTCCACAAAATGGCCGCTAATGGGCCCCAAAATGGCTGCCAGGGTACCCAAAATGGCCCCAAAATGGTCTCAAAATGGCCCCAAATATGTCCCCAAATGTGTCCCCAAATGGGCCCAAATTGGCCCTGAAATGGTCTCAAAGTGGCCCCAAAATGGCCCCAAATGTGGCCCCAGATGTGTCCCAAAATGGCCGCCAATGTTCCACAAAATGCCGCCAAAATTTACCCCAAATGGTCCTAAATGGTCCTAAAATGCCCAAAATGTCCCCAAATGTCCTCTGTGTCCCTAACGACCGTGATGTCCTCCATGTCCCCAATGTCCCAAATATCCTCAAATGTCCCCAATGTCCCCAACGTCCTCAAAGCTCCCCAATGTCTCCAACATCTCCAATGTCCCCAATGTCCCCAGTGTCCCCAATGTCCCCAACACCCCCAATGTCCCCAATGTCCCCAATGCCTCCAATGTCCCCAGTGTCCCCAATGTCCCCAGTGCCCCCAATGTCCCCAGTGCCCACAATGTCCCCAATGTTCTCAAAGCCCTCAGATGTCTCCAACATCTCCAATGTCCCCAATCCCCCCAATGATGTCCCCAAGGTCCCAAATGTCCCCAACACCCCCAATGTCCCCAATGCCTCCAATGTCCCCAGTGTCCCCAATGTCCCCAATGCCCCCAATGTCCCCAATGTTCTCAAAGCCCTCAGATGTCTCCAACATCTCCAATCCCCCCAATGTCCTCAAGGTTCCCAGATGTCCCCAGTGTCCCCAGTGTCCCCGGTGTCCCCGGTGTCCCCGGTGTCCCCTCACCTCTGGGCGGTGGCCACACGCTCCTGGGCAGCTCCTGGCAGAGCCGCTGGCGCTGCTGCAGCCGCTGTCCCCACCGGGGGTCCCTGCCCAGCGCCACCACCAGGCCGTCCCCCAGGGCCCCCAGGGGTCCCCCCTGCTGGCAGGCGCCGGCGCGGGGTCCCCGAAGGTCCCCGCACACCAGTGGCATCGTGGACAGGGCCACCAGCACCTCCTGAGAGCCGTTGGTGGCCACCAAGGAGCCGTCGGCGGCCAGCGAGCAGAACGAGGCCACCTGCAGCACGAACGGGGCTGGAAGGGGCAAAAAAATGGGATTTTAACCCAGATTTTTGGGGGTTTTAAAATGATTTTTTGGGGGATTTTTGGGGTTTTTATAAGATTTTTTTTTCTGGGATTTTTTTTTATTTTTTGGTGGTTTTTTGGGATTTTTGGGAGATTTTTTGATGATTTTTTAAAGTTTTTTGGGATTTTTTTGGATTTTCTTGAGATTGTATTTTTATTTTTGGGGTTTTTTTTACATTTGTATTTTCTGGAATTTTTGGGGGATTTTTTTGAATTTTTTTGGATTTTCTTGAGATTGCATTTTTATTTTTTTGGGTTTTTTGGGATTTTTGGGAGATTTTTTGATGATTTTTTAAAATTTTTTTGGGTTTTTTGGGATTTTCTTGGGATTGTATTTTTATTTTTGGGGGGTTTTTGAAGTTTGTATTTTCTGGAATTTTGGGGGGATTTTTTTGAATTTTTTGGGGATTTTTTTGAATTTTTTGGAATTTTCTTGGGATTGCATTTTGATTTTTTTGGGGGGTTTTTTAAAGTTTTTTTAAATGGGATTTTTTTAATTTTTTGAGGTCTTTTGGGATTTTCTTGGGATTGCATTTTGATTTTTTTGGGGGGTTTTTTAAAGTTTTTTTAAATGGGATTTTTTTAATTTTTTGAGGTCTTTTGGGATTTTCTTGGGACTGTATTTTGATTTTTGGGGAGTTTTTTAAAGTGTTTTTTTTCTGGGATTTTTAGGGGGATTTTTTTAAATTTTTTTGTTGGTTTTTGGGATTTTTTGGAATTTTCTTGGGATTGTATTTTGATTTTTGAGGAATTTTTTTAAGTTTTTTTTGGGGAATTTTTTGGGGGATTTTTTTTTTTATTTTTTGTGGTCTTTTGGGATTTTTTGGGATTTTCTTGGGATTGTATTTTGATTTTTGGGTTTTTTTTAAAGTTTTTTTTTTTCTGGGATTTTTTGGGGATTTTTTTTAAATTTTTTTGCGGGTTTTTGGGATTTTTTGGGATTTTCTTGGGATTGTATTTTGATTTTTGAGGATTTTTTTAAAGGTTTTTTTTATTATTTTTTGGGGGATTTTTTTGGATTTTTTGTGGTCTTTTGGGATTTTTTGGGATTTTCTTGGGATTGTTTTTTAATTTTTTGGGGGTTTTTTTAAAGTTTTTTTTCTGGGATTTTTTGGGGATTTTTTTTTAAATTTTTTTGCGGGTTTTTGGGATTTTTTGTGGGTTTTTTTGGGATTTAATTTCGGTTTTTTGGGGGGGATATTTTGTTGATTTTTTGGGGGATTTTTTGGCAGAGCCCCCCCAAATTCGTAATTTTTCACCCCAAAATCCGCGCCTCTCCCCCCAAATCTTACAGGGCGGATACCCCCCCGTCCCCCATCATCCCAAATTTCCCCTTTTCCCAAATTTCCCCAAATTTTCCCAATTTTTTTCCCGCCAAATCCGCTTCCCACAAGGCGGAACCCCTCCAAAACCTCCCCAAAATCCCAATTTTTCACCCCAAAATCCGCGCCCCTCCCCCCAAATCTTACAGGGCGGATCCCCCCCAGTCCCCCCCTCATCCCAACTTCCCCTTTCCCCAAATTTTCCCAATTTTTTCCTTTTTCCCCCAATTTTTCCCCGCCAAAACCCCGCTGGGTGGAGTCGTCCTTCCCCTCGAAACTTCCCCAAAATCCCAATTTTTCACCCCAAAATCCGCGCCCCTCCCCCCAGATCTTTTAGGGCGGATCCCCCCCCTCATCCCCAACTTCCCCTTTTCCCAAATTTCCCCAATTTTTTTTCCCTTTTTCCCGCTTTTTCCCCCCAAAGCCGCGCTCCTCACCCGCCCCGGGGGCTCCGAGCGCCGCCAGCAGCAGCGGCAGCATCGCGGACTGGGACGAACTGGGACGAACTGGGACGAACTGGGCCGAACTGGGACGAACTGGGACAAACTGGGCCGAACTGGGAGGGACTGGGACGTGCTTTGGGGTGGCCCCCTCCAGGGTGGGGACGTTTGGGGACATTTTGGGGCAGCCAATGGGAGCGCGAGGCGGGCGCGCGTCACTCGTTGCCAGGCAGGGCTGGGCTGGGAGCGGCCGCGAGAGGGACTTGGGGGAACCGGGATGGACTGGGATGGAACTGGGAATACTGGGAGGGACTGGGAGGGACTGGGAGGGACTGGGCTGGGGCTTTGGGAAGAAAAATGGGGGAAAAGTGGAGAAAATTGGGGAAAAGTGGAGAAAAAATTGGAATTTTGGGGGTAAAATTGATGGGAAAATGGGGATTTGGGGATACTGGGATGGACTGGGAGGGACTGGGAGGGACTGGGAGGGACTGGGAGGGAACTGGGAGGGACTGGGAGATCAGGACTAAAACCAGGATTAGGATCAGGACCAGAACCAGGACCAGGACCAGGATCAGGACTAAAACCAGGATCAGGATCAGGACTAAAACCAGGACCAGAACCAGGACAGGGACTTGGATCGGGATCAGGATCAGGACTAAAACCAGGACCAGAACCAGGACGAGGATCAGGATCAGGACTAAAACCAGGATCAGGATCAGGACTAAAACCAGGACCAGAACCTGGACCGGGACTTGGATCAGGACTAAAGCCAGGACTAAAGCCCGGCCTGTGACAAAGAAGGACACGGACTCTGCCAAAGCCTGGATTTATTTCGGACGGGCGGGGTCTAACTCCCAGATTCCCGCGGGGATGAGCTCAGCCTGTGAACAGAAACCCAACCTTGGGGACGATTCCCCCAATGGCACCCCCGGACTGGGATTAGGGTTGGGATTGGGACTGGGATTAGGGCTGGGATTAGGGTTGGGATTAGGGTTGGGACTGGAATTGGATTGAAATTGGGACTGGGATTGGGATTGGGACTGGGATTAGGCCTTGGACTAAGACTGGAATTAGGGTTTGGACTGGGACTGGGGCTGGGATTGGGGTTCGGGACTGGGATTAGGGCTGGGACTGGGATTGGATCAGAATTAGGATTGGGACTGGGATTTGGATTTGGACTGGGATTGGGATTAGGGTTTGGACTGGGATTGGGATTAGGGTTTAAGACTGGGATTGGGATTGGGGTTTGGACTGGGATTGGGATTAGGGTTTAAGACTGGGATTGGGATTGGGGTTTGGACTGGGATTGGGATTAGGGTTTAAGACTGGGATTGGGATTGGGGTTTGGACTGGGATTGGGATTAGGGTTTAAGGCTGGGATTGGGGTTTGGGCTGGGATTGGGATTGGAAGTGGGACTGGGACTGGATCAGAATTTTAGGGCTGGGGCTGGGACTGGATCAGAATTGGGACTGGGATTGGGACTGGGATTGGGTTTTGGATTGGGACTGGGATTAGGGTTTGAGACTGGGATTGGATTGGAATTGGGACTGGGATTAGGGTTGGGATTGGGACTGGGACTGGGATTCAAACTGGGACTGGGATTTCAACCAGGACCAGGACTGGGACTGGGACTGGGACCAGGATTAGGATCAGGACCAGGACCAGGGCTGGGATCAGAATTAGGACGGATCAGGACAAGAACCAGGACTGAGACTGGGATCCAAATTGAGACTGGGATTAGGACTGGGACTGGGACTGGGATCAGGACCAGATCCAGAACCAGACCCAGGCCCAAAACCAGACCCAGGCCCAGGCCTAGACTTAGGCCTGGAACCAGAACCAGGCCCGGGCCCAGGTTTAGGCCCAGGATCAGGCCCAATCCCAGGCCTAAACTTAGTCCCAGGTTTAGGCCCGGCCTATCCCGTACCGTGCGGGTCCCAGCGGGCCAGCAGGGCCAGGCCCAGGTTTAGGCTCAGGATCAGGCCCAATCCCAGGCCCAGGTTTAGGCCCAGGTTTAGGCCGGGCCTATCCCGTACCATGCGGGTCCCGGCGGGCCAGCAGGGCCAGGCCGGCCCCCAGCAGGGCCAGGATCAGGCCCAGGGCCAGCGCGGCTCCGACCAGCGCCGTGTCCAGCTGCTCGTCCAGCGCCGTGTCCGGAGCCACTGCGGACACGGCCCCGAGGTCACCTCCGGCCACGGGGTGTGCCCAAAAATACCCCCAAATACCCCCAAATTCACCCAGAAATCACACACAAAATCACCCAAAATACCCCCAAAATCACTCATAAAATCACCCAGAAATCCCAAAAAAATCCCCCCAAAACCCCAAAAAATCCCCCTAAAAATCCCCCAAAAAATCCCCAAAAATCCCCAAGACCCCCCAAAAATCCCAAGAAATCCCAAAAAAATCCCATAAAATCTACCAAAAAATCATGAAAAAATCCCCCAAAAAATCAAAAAAATCCCCAAAAAAATCCCCCCCAAAAATCCCATAAAATCTACAAAAAATTATTTAAAAATCCACTAAAAATCTCCAAAAAATCCCAGAAAACTCCCCAAAAAATCCAAAAAAATCCCCCAAAAATCCTCTCACCCCAGTAGGCCACGGCGGTGACGTTGTCCCTGTCCGAGGTGACCTCGCAGGCCACGACGTCGCCGGGCCGGGGGGTGACGGAAATCCGGGAGACGCGGGCGAAGGTGAGGTCGGCGCCGGGGACGAAGGGCCCCGAGGTGACGCCGCGAGTGACCGCGGCTCCGGCCAGCGTCCAGCCGATGGTCAGCGACGGGGGAAAGATGTTCTCCACCAGGCACACCAGGGCGGTGGCCTCGCCCGGGGACGGGGGACGCGCCGGGAACACCGAGAGCAGCGGCACGCCTGTGCGGAAAAACGGGAAAAATTCAAAATTTATGGGAAAAATTGACCAAAAAATGGGAAAAAATGGGGAAATTGAGGAGAGAAATGGGCTGGGAGATGTTCTCCAGCGGGCTTCTCCTGGGATGAGGAACACCAAGATCATCAGGATTCCTAGATGGAAAAATGGGGAAAATGGGAAAAATTGGGAAAAATTGAGAAAATTGACCAAAAAATGGGAAAATTGAGGTGCAAAATGATGGGGAAAATGGGATGGGAGATGTTCTCCAGCAGGCTTCTCCTGGGATGAGGAACACCAAGATCATCGGGATTCCTGGGGGGAAAAATTGGAAAAATTGGGAAAATTGTGGAAAAATAGGAAAATTATGGAAGAAATGGACCAAAAAATGGGAAAAATGGAGAAAAAAATTAAGAAATTGAGGGGAAAAATGGGGTGGGAGATGTTCTCCAGCAGGCTTCTCCTGGAGATGAGGAACACCAAGATCATCGGGATTCCTGGGTGGAAAAATTGGAAAAATTGGGAAAATTATGGAAAAATTGGACCAAAACATGGGAAAAATGGAGAAAAAAAATTAAGAAATTGAGGAGAAAAATGGGCTGGGAGATGTTCTCCACCAGGCACACCAGGGCGGTGGCCTCTCCCGGGGACGGGGGATGCGCCGGGAACACCGAGAGCAGCGGCACGCCTGGGGGGGAAAAAATTGACCAATTCTCCTCAATTTTCCCTTTTTATGGTCCATTTTTTCCATAATTTTCCCCATTTTTCCCATTTTCCACCCAGCAATCCTGATGATCTTGGTGTTCCTCATCCCACCACCCTGGTGTTCCTGCTGGAGAACATCTCCCAGCCCATTTTCTCCATTCCAAATCAAATTTTTTTCCCATTTTGTGGTCAATTTTCCCAATTTTTGGTCCAATTTTCCCAATTTTTCCCATTTTCCACCCAGGAATCCCGATGATCTTGGTGTTCCTCACCCCAGGAGAAGCCTGCTGGAGAACATCTCCCAGCCCATTTTCTCCATTCCAAATCCCATTTTTCCCCTTTTTTTGGTCAATTTTTCCATATTTTTCCCAATTTTTCCCATTTTCCACCCAGATGTTCTCCAGCGGGCACACCAGGGGGGTGGATTCTCCTGGGGTGAGGCACACCAAGATCATCAGGATTCTTGGGTGGAAAAATGGAAAAATTATGGAAAAATAAGAAAATTATGGAAAATATTGACCAAAAATGTAGAAAATGGACCCAAAAAATGGAGAAAATGTTGGGGAAAATGGGCTGGGAGATGTTCTCCAGCAGGCACACCAGGGCGGTGGCCTCTCCCGGGGACGGGGGAGGCGCCGGGAACACCGAGAGCAGCGGCACGCCTGCGCGGAAAAACGGGAAAAATGGGAAAAAATTCAAAATTTATGGGGAAAATTGACCAAAAAATGGGAAAAAATGGGGAAATTGAGGAGAGAAATGGGCTGGGAGATGTTCTCCAGCAGGCTTCTCCTGGGATGAGGAACACCAAGATCATCGGGATTCCTGGGTGGAAAATGGGAAAAATTCAAAATTTAAGGAGAAAAATGGACTCAAAAAAGGGGGGAAAATGGGAAAAATTGACCAAAAAAATGGAGAAAATGAGGGGGAAAATGGGCTGGGAGATGTTCTCCAGCGGGCACACCACGGGGGTGGCTTCTCCTGGGGTGAGGAACACCGAGATCATCAGGATTCCTGGATGGAAAATTGGGAAAAATGGGAAAAATGGGAAAAAATTCAAAATTTATGGGGGAAATGGACCAAAAAATGGGGAAATTGAGGTGAAAAATTATGGGGAAAATGGGATGGGAGATGTTCTCCAGCAGGCTTCTCCTGGGGTGAGGAACACCGAGATCATCGGGATTCCTGGGTGGAAAATGGGAAAATTATGGAAAAATGAGAAAATTATGGAAAAAATAGACCAAAAAATGGGAAAAATGGACCAAAAAAACGGGAAAAATTAAGGGGGAAAAAAGGGGAAACTATGGGAAAAATAATGGGAAAAATAATGGGGAAAATAATGGGGAAAATGAGAAAATAATGGGGAAAATGATTGGAAAATGACAGAAAAAATATGGGAAAAATGGGAAAATGATGGGAAAAATAATAGGAAAATTATGGGGAAAATGGGAAAAATAATGGGAAAGTAATGGAAAAAATGATGGGAAAAATATGGGAAAAATGGGAAAAATAATGGGGAAATGATGGGGAAATTTATGGGAAAAATAATGGGAAAAATGGGGAAAATGGAAAAAAAAAAAGAGAATAATTATGAGGAAAATGGAAAAATGGGAAAAAAGGGAAAAATTTAGGGAAAAATGGAAAAATAATGGGAAAAATGTGAAAAATGTGACTAATTGGAAAGGGTTTGGGATTGGGAATGGGAATTTTTGGTGGTTTCCATTTCTTCATCCCCAAATTTTCACTCTCTGTGCCAAATTTTTCCACAATTTCCATCCCTCCATCCAAATTTTTTCCCACAATTTCCACCTTTTCATCCCAAATTTTCCCCACATTTTCCACCCCTTCATCTCCAAATTTTTCACTCTCCATCCCAAATTTTTCCCCAATTTCTCCCAATTTTTTCCCACATTTTCCCCCCTTCATCCCACATTTTCCCCCAATTTCCCTCAATTTTCCCCCAATTTTCTCCCAATTTCTCCCAATTTCTCCCAAATTTTCCCCACATTTTCCACCCTTCCATCCCCAATTTCTCCCCAATTTTCTCCCCAATTTCCCCCATTTTTTCCCACATTTCCCCCTATTTCCCCCAAATTTCCCCCAATTTCTGCCAATTTTTTCCCAAATTTTCTGCAATTTTTCCCAATTTTCCCCCAATTTTTCCCCAAATTTTCCCCCAATTTTCCCCAATTTTTTCTCAATTTCTCCCAATTTTTTCCCCACATTTTCCCCCAATTTTTCCCCATTTTCTCCCAATTTTTTTCCACATTTCTCCCCAGTTTCTCCCCCTACCCTTGGCGCGGGGCAGCATCCCGGCCAGCCGCGGCCCCAGCGCCCCGAGCACGTCCCGGCACATCCCAATTTCCCCAATTTCCCCGATTTCTCCCCAATTCCCTTACCCACCCTTGGCTCTCGGCAGCATCCTGGCCAGCTGCGGCCCCAGCGCCCCGAGCACGTCCCAGCACATCCCATCCCAATTTCCCCTGAATTTCCCCCAAATTTCTGCCATTTTTCCCCCAATTTTTCCCCCAATTTTCTCCAAATTTTCCCCAAATTTCTCCCAATTTTTCTCCAAATTTCCCCACAATTTTCCCCAAAATTTCCCCCATTTTCCACCCCTTTTTCCCCAATTTTCCCCCATTTTTTCCCTGAATTTTCCCCCAATTTCCCCCAATTTTCCCCTAATTTTCACCCGAATTTCCCCCAATTTCTCCCAATTTTCCCCCCAATTTCTCCCCAATTTTTTCCCACATTTCCCCCAAATTTTCCCCCCATTTTCCCCCATATTTTCCCCTAATTTTTCCCCAAATTTTCCTTCAAATTTTCCCAATTGTCCCCCAATTTTCTCCCAATTTTTTCCCAATTTCCCCCGATTTCCCCCCAATTTCTCCCTTACCCACCCTTGGCTCTTGGCAGCATCCCGGCCAGCTGCGGCCCCAGCGCCCCGAGCACGTCCCGGCACATCCCAATTTCCCCAATTTCCCCGATTTCACCCCATTTTCTCCCCGCACCCTTGGCTCTCGGCAGGATCCCGGCCATTTCCCTGAATTTTCCCCCAATTTTCCCCCATCTCTCCCCCAATTTTCCATCCTTCATCCCCAATTTTTTCCCAATTTCTCCCCGAATTTCCCCCAATTTCTCCCAATTTTCCCCCAATTTTCCCCCCAATTTTCCACCCTTCATCCCAAATTTCTCCCCAATTTCTCCCTAATTTTCTCCCATTTTTCCACATTTTCCCCCATTTTTCTCCCAATTTTTTCCCAAATGTCTCCCAATTTTTTACCAATTTTTCCCAATTTCCCGGATTTCTCCCCAATTCCCGCACCCTTGGCTCTCGGCAGGATCCCGGCCAGCCGCGGCCCCAGCGCCCCGAGCACGTCCCGGCACAGCTGCGCCCCCGGGCCCAGCTCCCCGGGGGTCTCCAGCCCCCGCGGCCGGCCCGGCCCGGGGGTCCCGCGGCGCCACCGCGAGCCCGGGAAGTCGAACCAGAAGAGGCCGAGCCCGTCCAGGGTGACCGAGAGCGACACGGAGGGAGGGTCGGGCTGGCACGTCAGGATCTCCCCCAGGACGTGCGCGGGAGGCGGCGCGGCTGCGGGGAGAGGGAGAGGGGAGAGGGAGGTGGGGAGGGAGAGGGAAATGGGGATGGGGAGAGGGAGAGGGAGAGGGAAATGGGGAGGGAAAGAGAGAGGGAAAGGGAGAAGGAATGGGAAATGGGGAGAGGGAGAGGGGAGAGGGAGAGGGAAATGGGGAAAGGGAAGGGGAGAGAGAAATGGGGAGGGGGAGAGGGGAATAGGGATGGGGAGAGGGAAATGGGGATGGAGAGGGGAAATGGGGAGAGGGAGAGGGAAATGGGGAGAGGGAAATGAGAGGGAAAGGGAGAGGGAAAGGGAAATGGGGAGAGGGAAAGGGAGAGAAGGGAATGGGGAGAGGGAAGGGGGAAGGAAAGGGGGAGGGAAGGGAATGGGGAGAGGGAAATGGAGAGAAGGGAATGGGGAGGGGGAAATGGGGAAGGGGAGAGGGAAATTGGGAGAGGGAATGGGGAGAGGGAAATGGAGAGAGGGAGAGGGAAATGGGGAGGGAGAGGGAGAGGGGGAGATGGAGAATGGGGATGGGGAGAGGGAAATGGGGAGGGAAAGGGAGAGGGAGATGGGGAGAGAAAGGGAAATTGGGAGAGGGAAAGGGAGAGGGAAAGGGAGAAGGGAAATGGGGATGGAGGATGGAGAGGGAAAGGGAAAAGGGAGGAGAGGGAAATGGGGAGAGGGAGAGGGGAATGGGGATGGAGGAAAGAGAGGGAAAGGGAGATGGGGAAGGGGAGAGGGAAAGGGAGAGGGAAAAGGGGAGACGGGAGGGGAATGGGGAGAGGGAAAGTGAGAGGGAGAAGGGAGAGGAGGAGGGGAAGGGGAGAGGGACAGGAGAGACACGGAGGCACACAGGTGACAACGAAGGGACAGGAGAGAGGACAAACACCAAAGTGAGACCACGCCGCGCGTCCCCTCCCCCTCCCTCTCCCTCCCTCTCCCCTCCCCCAGCTCCTACCGGGCTCGGCCACGGCCACGGCCACCAAAACCCCCCCGAGCAGCGCCCCGAGGACACCCATGGCCCCTCCGTGTCCCCAGTGTCCCCAAGGTCCCCGCGCGGAGCCCACCCGTGGGTCCCACGCGGCGCCAGCCAATGGCAGCGCTCCGCCGCCGTGACGTCAGCGGTTGCCGGGCAGAACGGCCCCGAGCGCGGCGCGGGGCCGGTGACAGAGCGGGCGCCGAAATCCCCGCGTGGGGACGCGAGTGGGGAGGGGTCCCCGAGACCCCCACAAGGGTCACGTGGGGTGGGGAGACCCCCTGGGTGAGCCCCCAAATTCAGGGGGTGCCGCGGGTGACGTCACGGGGGTTAATGAGCGGCGTGGGGTTAATTAGGGGGACACGCGTGGCGGGTCTGACGTCATCGGGGGCGGCAAAGGGGGGAGTCCGCGGGATGTGGGGGCACCCGCGGAATTTTTGGGGACCCCGAATCTCCACGTGGGTGCCCCCCACGCCATCACGGACCCCCGTGGGTGCCCCCCCACCCTTACTGGAACACCCGTGGGCGCCCCTCACCCTCATCCCACCCCCCTCAGGAATGTCACGGACCCCCGTGGGGACACCCCAGGAATTTTTGGGGTCCCTCCCCACCCCCACCCCCGATCGCGGACCCCCGTGGGTGCCCCCCCCACCCCACGCTGCGGCGCGCCCGCACTGCGCATGCGCGCGGCGCTAGGACCCCGCGGAGCCTTTCCCGCCACGGCGGGGGGGGGGCCATGAATGGGGGCCCGTGGGAGCCGCGGGGGAACCACGTGACGCCCGGCAGCCAATCAGCGCGCGGGTGACGTAGCTCGTGGCTCCCTTTTCTGCCCCGGGATGGTTTTTTTTACCTTTTTTGCCCCAAACCCGGGGTTTTTTGGGGCGGGAGGTTTTTTGGGGAGCGGAGAGGGGGCGGATGAAGCGGGGCCGAGCCCGGGGGTCGCGGCGCAAGGCGGGGGCGCCTCAGGTGAGTGCCGGGGGGGGGGCGGCCTCCCCCTGCCCCCCCCCACAGCGGCGGGGAGGCGGGGGGAGCCCACGTGACGGCGCCGCGCTGTCCATCACGCCTCGTCCCGCCCTCTTTTCGCCGCTTCCACCAATAGGGAGGCGAGGAGCGGGTGATTGGCGGCGGGGCGGGCGCGGCTTTGTGCGCGCGGCGGGGGCGGCGGTTTGGGGCGAAAAGCGCCATGTTTGGGTGTTCGCGCGGGGGCGGCGGCGGGCGCGGCCCCAAGTGCTGTGTCACGGTGGCGGTGGCGAGCCCCGGGGAGGGGGGAAGGGAAGCGGACGCCACACGGAGCCGCCCGTGTCCTGCGAGCCCCGGGGAGGAGGAGGAGTGGGGGGGGGGGGG